GCACACTAAATGTCTCATACATGCTTCTGTGTACACTGCATGTCTGATATGTGCATCTGGACACACTGCAGGTCTCATACGTGCATTTGCGCACACTGCATGTCTCATACATGCATTTCCACAGAATGCATGTCTCATACATGCACCTGTGAACACTACATAACTAATACCTGCTTGTGCATATCTCATATTTGCATCGGTGCACATTGCAGGTCTTATACTTGCATCTGCGCACAGTGCAAGTCTCATACGTGCATGTGTGCACACTACATGTTTCATACGTGCATCTGTGCACACTGCAGGACTCATACATGCATTTGCGAACACGGCAGTTCTAATACGTTCATTTGTGCGCACTACATGTCTCATACGTGCAACGGTACACACTGCATGTCTCAGACGCACATCTGCACACAGTGCATGTCTCATACGTGTATCTGGGCACTCTGAATGCCTCATATGTGCATCTGTGCACACTGCATGTCTCAAACGTGCATCTGTGCACAAAGCATGTCTCATACCTGCATGTGTCACCACTCCATGTCTCTTACGTACATTTGTGCACCTTGCATGTCTCATATGTTCATCAGAGCAGAGTAAATGTCTCATAAGTGCATCTGAGCACACTCTACATCTCATACATGCTTCTGTGCACACTGCATTTCTAATACGTGTGGCTGGGCACACTGCATGTTATTCGTGCGTCTGCGCAAACTACTTGTCTCATACATGTATCTGAGCACACTGCATGTCTAATATGTATGTCTGCTCACCCCGCATGTCATATATGGATGTGCGCACACTGCATGTCTCATACGTGCACCTGAGCACATTGCATGTCTCATATATGCACCTAATCACACTGCATGTCTAATTTGTACATCTGCTCACACTGAATGTCATACGTGCATCTGCGTACACTACATGTACATAATAGACAGCATGTACACAAAGGACAGTGTGTACACAATAGACAGTATGTAGACAATGGACAGAATGTACACAACAGACAGTATGTGCACAATGGACAGTAAGAACACAATGGAGAATACAAACTCAAAGGACAGTATGTACACAATGGACAGTATGTACACAATGGACAGTATGTACACGATGGACAGTATGTACACAGTTGACACTACCTTGTAGACAGTACGTACACATTTGACAGTATGTAAACAGTAGACATTTTGTACACAGTAGACAGTATGTACACAATGGACAGTGTTTACACAATGGACAGTATGACACAATGGACAGTATGTACATAAAGACAATATGTACACAACAGTATATGCACAATGGACAGTATGAACACAATGGACTGTATGTACACAATAGACAGTATCTACATAAAAGACAGTATATTCACAATGGTGGTGTGTACACAATGGACAGTATGTACAAAATGACATTATGTAAACAATAGACATTATGTCCAAAATGGACAGTTTTACACAATAGACCCTATGTACACAATGGACAGTGTGTATAAAATGGTCAGTATGTATACAATGGACAATATGTACAAGGTAGAGAGTATGTACACAACAGTATGTACACAATGGACAGTATGCACACAATGGACAATATGTACACAATAGACAGTATGTACACAATTGAGAGTATGTTCAAAATGGACAGTATGTACACAATGGTCAGTATGTACACAATGGACAGTATGTACAAGATAGACAGTATGTACACAACAGTATGATCACAATGGACAGTATGCACACAATAGACAGTATGTACACAATGGACAGTAAGCACACAATGGAGAGTATGTACTCAAAGGACAGTATGTACACAATGGACAGTATGCAAACAATGGACAGTATGTATATAATAGACAGTATGAACACAATTGAGAGTATGTTCAAAATGGACAGTAAGTACACAATAGACAGCATGTACACAATGGACAATATGTACAGTATAGACAGAATGTACACAACAGTATGTGTCAATGGACAGTACGTCCCCAACAGTATGGGCACACTGAACAGTATGTACACAATAGACAGTATGTACACAATGGACAGTATGTACATAATGTACAGTATGTACATAGTGGATAGCTTTTACACAATATTCATTATGTACACAATGGAGAGCATGTACACAATGGACAGTATGGACTCATGAACAGTATATACATAATGGACAGTATGTACACAGCAGACAGTATGCTCACAGTAGACAGTATGTACACAGTAGACACTATGTACATAGTAGACACTATGTACACAGTAGACAGGAAGAACAGTGTGGACAATATGTACACAATGTACAGTATGTACGCAATGGACAGCATGTTCACAACAGTATGTAAAGAATAGACAGTAAGTATACAATGAACAGTATCAACACACTGGACAGTATTTACACAATGGACAGTTGTTACACAATGGACAGTATGTATACAATGGACACTATGTACCTATTGGACAAGTTTGTACACAATAGTGTATACCAAAGATAGTATGTACACAATGGACAGCTTGTACCCAATAGGCAGTATGTACACTATTGACAGTTTTTACACAATAAACAGTATGTACACAATGGACAATATGTACGTGTGGGGAGTATGTACACAATGGACCGTATTTGCACACTGGACAATATGTGCACAATGGACACTATGTACACAATGGACAGTATTTACAATATAGACAGTATGTACACAACAGTATGTGCACAATGGACAGTATGGACAAAACAGTATGTGCACAATGGACAGTATATAGGCAATGGACAGTATGAACATAATGGACAGTATGTACACAATGGACAGTATGTACACAGTAGTATGTACACAATGTACAGCAAGTTCACAGTAGACAGTATGTACACAATAGACAGCATGTACAAAATGGACAGTATGTACAGTATAAACAGTGTGTACAAACAGTATGTGCACAACGGACAATATGTACACAATGGACAGTATGTACAGTATGTACACAATAGTATGTACACAATGGACAGTAAGTACACAATAGACAATATGTACACAATAGACAATATGTACACAATAGACAATATGTACGCCTTAGACAGTATGTCCACAATGGACAGTATGTACACAATAGAGAATATGTACACAATAGACAGCATGTACACAATGAACAGTATGTACAATATAGAAAGAACGTACACAACTCTATGCGCACAATGGACAGTATATACACAATGGACAGTATGTACATAATGGACAGCTTGTACACAATATTCATTATGTACACAATGGAGAGCATATACACAATGAACAGTATGTACACAAGGGACAGTATGTACACGTGGACAGTATGTACACAATGGACAGTATGTACATAATGGACAAATATGTACACATCAGTATGTACACAATAGACAGTATGGACACAATAAACAACATGTACACAATGGACAATATTTACACAATAGACGGTATGTACAAAATAGACAGTATGTATACAATGGACAGTATGTACACAATCGACAGTATGTACAAAATGTACAGTATGTACACAGGAGACTTTATAGACACAACAGACTCTATGTATACAATTTAGAGTATGTACTCATAGGACATTATGTATACAATGGACATTGTGTACACAACGGACAGTGTGTACATCATGGAAAGTGTGTAGACCATGGACAGTGTGTACAGCATGGACAATATGTACACCATTTACAATGTATACACCATGGACGGTATGTACACAATTGACAGTATGTTCACAAGAGATGGTATGTACACAATGGACCGTATGTACACAATGGACAGTAAGTACACAATGAACAGTAAGTACACAATTGACAGTATGTGCACAAAGGGCAGTATGTACACAATGGACGATATGTACACAATAGACAGTATATACACAATGGACAGTATGTACACGATGGACAGTATGTATACAACACAATAGACAGTATGTACACAATAGACATTAAGCACACTATAGACAGCATATATACAATAGACAGTATGTGCACAATAGTATGTACACAATGGACACTATGTACTCAAGAGTATATACACAATGGACAGTACGTACACAATGGACAGTATGTGTACAATAGACAGTATGTGACATGTAGTGTGCGCAGAACCATGTATGAGACATGTAGTGTGCGCAGTTGCACATATGAGACCTACTGGGTGAGCAGATGTACGTATGAGACATGCACAAACACGTATTAGTCATATAGTGTGCACAGATGCACGAATGAGACATGCAGTGTGAGTAGATGCACATACTGTATATGTTGTGTGCTCAGATGCACGTATGATATGCAGTGTGAGCAGATGTACGTATTAGACATGCAGCGTGCTTAGGTGCACATATGAGACATGTAGTGTGCACAGATTCACATATGAGACATATACTGTTCTCTGATGCACATATGAGACATGCAGTGTGCACAGATGCACATATGAGACATTCAGAGTGCACAGATACATGTATGAGACATGCACTGTGCACAGATGCATGTAAAAGACCTCCAGTGTGCAAACCTGCATGTTTGAGACATGAAGTGCGTGCAGATGCACGTATGACATGCAGTGTGAGCTCTTCCCGGAGCCCAGCATGAAGAGCTGTGCTCTCTGCCTTTGCCTTTGAGCAAACCTGAGCGATCTCTTCGTTGGCTCTGTGGTGGAGAGTTGGGTTTGTTTGCAGGAGAAATCAGAAGAGCATGGTTAGCCACGAGAAACAGACTCAGGCTACTGACTACTGACTTCCACACAACCCAGATTGCAAAGAACTGAGAGGAAAACCCAGAAACAATGACTTACAAAATGCGCTTTATATAAAACTGCTAAGCACATTTCCATGGCACACCTGACAGAAGAATACTTCAACATACTTCAACATACTTCCAAAGTTATATTTCACAAGAAAATGACATTACTTAATTTTTTGTAACAATTCTAACTTTTAAACAATCCAGTATGATGGTGGCCTGGATTACTCTGCACTTGATCATACAATGTTGGGTGTCATTCAGCGTATGTCTATTGAGGACAACTGGTCAGTCTTTACAATTATCATAACACCATGCTTGCTGGACCCCAGTTCTTCATCTATCACGAAGGAACAGTCTACAGCACTGCTTGCTATAGCACTTCTGCACTAGGATGAGTTTAAAGACCACAATGTCTAGCAGGAGCAGCCGTCTAAACGGAAACCTTCCAACAGTGAAATACCAGGGAGAAGGTCCTCATGAGCACAGAAAAACTAAGGGGCGTAGCATGTACATCTGTGGAAAACCACAAAATGCCAACACTAATGGGTTAAAGGTTAAGCGGTGAGAAACAGAGGGGATGGATGCTGTGTGTGCACAGCTTTTTATACTCTAACCAGAGGAATAAAATCACACACACACACACACACACACACACACAAGCAAGAATGCAGATAGTAAAAGGTACACCTTTGTTGTCTGTAGACAAACTGTCTGCCTCCACCTGCAGCAGTAAGCAGGTGCAGTGCACATTCACAAGCTCTTGCCTGTCCAGCTTTTCCTCTGCGTGAATCTTCAGGGCCTGGTATTGCTGCTCTTCCTGCTTAACTCTAGCTAGGTAATCCTGAGCACATTTTTTCAAGGCTTCTTCATTCTGTTCCAAAGGGAAAATTCAAAACGAACATGAATGTCTCTTTGTTTCTCTTGCACAGTGTATCACAAGGGTTGGTTTTTTGTTTTATCTGTTTTTTTTAATAGGAAAGTCTGCTTAATTGAGATGTATTTAATTCTTAGTCCATGGCAACTTCAGCAGGCTTCTGCACCCTCACTAAAGAAAGTCTACAGACTTCTCCATGTCCTAACTTATATTGCTTTGTAAATCTCTTCCACTTTTACTACTATCAAGGCAAATGATCAAGGAGCCCAAGCCTCAGCTTGTCCACCACCCTGACAGCAGAGACTGCCTGTTACTAAGACACCATATGGCCACCCAGGAGACAAGGTGGAAGGACACCTACCTTCATGAACCCTTCTAGCACGCCTTTCAGGTTCTCGTATCTCCTGAAGAGATCAGAAAGGAACCTTTCCACAGAGTTCAGGTCAGCCAGGGCCTGCTCCTTCTCCATCGTCAGCTGCTGGAAACTCTTCTGAGAGCTCATATTTGTCCTCTGATTGTCTTCTGAGAACCACAAGCCAAAGGGGACAAAGTGAACACCGACTCTGGATGAGTCGGGGGCATGGCCTAGGTGTCCTCACACTCCAGAACTCCTGTTCTAGAGGGAGGACACACAGTGACAAGTGACGGGGAGGCAAGCAGGATGTGCCACAAGGGGGCAGAGCTGGTGTTCACAGAGGGGCCTCTCAGGGCAGAGACTGGAGCAGGTACCCAGAAGGGACTGGGGATCGGAGCCGCACAGAGTTGACAGCCAGGGCCAAGGTTAGGCTTGGAAGGCAGCTGCTGGGGTGGACAGTGGGGAAACCTTTTCAGTACTTAAATGCTAGAAGGTCAGAATGGATTCATGTGAGAGTCAAGCCATAGGCTGGGAACTAAATGAGGCTGGAAGATCAATATGGACAATTAAGTCACAGTGTCTCTGCATACACTCTCTGTGCAGGGTCCGTTGGAGGGGAATCAGAACCTGCAGACTAAAGACTCACTAAGTGCAAAGGCACATACTTGGCCATGGCAGTACTTGGGATACTGACCTAGAAACACTGAGTTCAAAGCCAGCCTGGGCTACATAGTGAGTTCAAGGCTGCCCTAGGGTGTCTTTGCCAGACCTCCTTCTTGCTTCTCTCTTCTTGGCCACATACTCCCTCCAACACATGTGTTCTGTCCAACCATATGGGATCCAGTGACTACAGACTGAACTCAGAAACCATGAGCCAAAATAAGTCCTTTCTCTTCTGTTTATAATCATGGATTTGGTCACAGTGGTGAGAAAACACGGAAGCAAGTCATGAGAACAGACCGGATCGGTCCCCATAGAAAAGAACGCCCAGCCCAGAGAATATCATATTAAATAAGTCAGGCACAGGAAGCAAAACTCTAAATGTTCTCAGCATATGTGGAGCCTAAATGAGGTGATCCTAAAGGTTTAGTGGTCACTAGAGGATGGGAAAGGTGAGCTGGGAGATGAACAGAGGAAGGGTGGGCAATGAGCACCAAACTGAGCAAGTCCGAGTGTTCTATAACAAAGTAGGATGGCGTCCACCTACAAGAACTTGGTATTTAATTTACAGAGAATTAGAAAGTACGTAGGAATTGGAATGTTCCCAAAGAAATGACAAACAGACACAGTCACAGCCTTGGCTTTGTCTCCAGAGATTCCAAAACTGTAAAAACACATGTTTATCTACTGCTGTGGCACCTGATAGGCTCAGATAGCTTCTAGGGCCCATGCTCAGAAAACAAAGCAAACACACAAAAAACCTTTCTCCTTGCCAATCATTTGGTCAATGATTTTTTCATATTCGGCCACAATTTTTCTAAAAAGAAAAAATAGTAGTAAGTTGTAATCATAACATAAAACTTGTTTTGTTATCAGAAGAGAGGCAATGGAAGTCAGAGACAGTCTGTCTGAAACAAATTCACAAACACCTAATAACACATATAATACCACACCTTTGCTCTGTCTCCCCTCTTTGTTTTTTTTCCTTACATCCATTAGGTTCACTAAAGTTCTGAAAGGTTAAATGTTCTCAGCACAAGGAAGAAGAGAAATGGAAAGAAGACAGCTTATGTCTTGGGTGCTAAGAACGGAGCCCTAGTCTCACACAAACTAGGTATGTGCTCTACCGCTGGACCACATCCTGAACTCCAAGAGCTTTTGACACTTTGTGTTTAATAAACTGTTCTGGTTATATTTTTTTGTCACCTGACAAGAGAGAATCTCAACTGAAGAATTATCTTGATAACACTGACCCTTGACCCCTCAGGACTTCTCTTGATTGATGTTGTAGGGCCGAATCCACGAAAAGCACCTCGCCATCCCTCAGCAGTTGGTTTGGTTCTATAAGAAAGTTAGCTAGCTGAGCAAGCCAGGAAGGAGCATTCCTGCCTTAGTTCCTACTCTGACTCCCCTTGATGATGGCTATGACCTGAAAGTATAAGCTGAAACCCTTTGCGCCTGCAAGTTGCTTTGGGCCATGGTGTTTTTCATAGCAACTGAAAGACAGCTAAGACATAAGCCTTTTAGTCTTCTTGTTTTTGTTTTGTTTTGCTTTTTTCGAGGCAGGTTTCTTTGTGTAACAGCTCTGGCTGCCCTGGAACTTGCTCTGTAGACCTCAAGCTCACAGAGATCTACCCGACTCTGCCTGAGTACTGGAATTAAAGGCATACACGCCTGTCTCTTTCAGTCTTTTATTATAACAACCATCTTTACTTTTTCTATTTAAATACTGTAAGACAATCTTTTTGAATTAAAGACGCTCTTAGAGCTCCTACTATGAGATCCACCCTGAGTCCATCTTTCCTGGACCATTACCTTTTAAGCACTATTCTCCTCCCATTCAGTTTCAAGTTTTATCTTATGTCCAACTGCACAAATATTTCACTTATTCCGAGAATGAAGAGCACGCCCTTGAGTTGGCCTTTCACTCAGTGAAGCCTGGTTCTTCTGATCTCCCTGCAGCTGCCCCTTAGTGCTGGACTCTGCATCCAAGGTCCTTATGGTGGCCACAGTAAGCTCACTAAAGGTGGGGCCTGGGCCTCCAACTAGGAAGTCTCCCCAAACCAAATAAAACAAGAATCACAAATTACAGCAGTCATGTTTAAAATGTCTTGTCAGCACTCACTCGCTGGTGAGGTTTACGCTTTCTCCTCTTCTTTGAGGTTATCTTTAGTAACACAATGACTCTTAAATTTCTAAACTGGACAGGAAAAGAAAAAAATACTTCCTTTTTCTTTTGGGGGGAGGGCACGAATCTCTGATACAAATGTGTACCCAACTGGTCTGGAATTTGTTGTGGGGCTCAGGCTGGCCTCAAACTTGGCGTAGTCCTCTTGCCCCAGTCTCCAGAGTGCTGGAATTCCAGGAATTTGAAAGCCCCCATCATCATCACCACCATGGCTAAAAGATTTTTATTTAAAGTCCGTTAATTTTGTCTTTTACTAATTTCAATACCTCCATCATTGACTGTACCAGTAAGTTTTATTACTCTTTATTATAAATGGATATTTTTAAAATAGACTTCTGTTCTTTTAAAAAGGCAAGAATTACTTAAGTTCTATTCATAGATGATGCTGTAAATAACCCTTGAAGCTATGGTATTTGAAAAAAAATAGTCAATACTATCTCTGACTTCTTTTCCTTTTATGAGACAGGGCCTTTCTTTGTAGCCTGCTTATCCTAGAACTTGGTAAGTAAAGTAGGCTGGGCTCAAATGCAGAGATCACTGGCTTCTGCCTCAGCCTCTAGAGTGCTGGGATTAAAGGTGTGTGCCACCACGCCCAGACTGCACTGACATTCTTAATCCCAGAGCACAGTGCTAAGAGTAAAAGCCCTTGTGCGCCAGCTGTGGATACTGTGACAAGAGAACACTGCTGACAACAGCCACAGCGCACAAAGGATCCACACCCACCCCAGCACCAGGCTGACCTCATCTCCAGGTTTCTTCTCGGATCTCTTCATATTTTTTCTTCCACTCTTAGGCTTCGATCTCTTTAGTGATTATCTAGATTATAATAGAGCTTTGTTTTACTTCACCAATCTACTAGAAACTGAAAAATAACACACAACCAAGTCTGACACAAGATATTAAATTAACACTTAGGAATATCGTACAGCTCAGTGTTTGTATATAAGAAACATCTGGGAAAGTACATTCTCGGCTACACAGGGTGCTGTAATACAGCCACCACCAGGTGAGGTGAACAGGACAGTGCCTGGCCACCAGGTGAGGTGAAAGGTACATCTCCCTCACATTTAAGTGGTACTCTCAACTCCTCTGAATTTTGTCTTATTTCTGAACTTATGACCCTCCTGCCTCAGCAACCCACCTGCCGAGACTAACACACTAATACTCTGGTATTTTCTGGGGATGTGTCTTATGCAACTAATTTTTCAAGAAGAGCAAGAACCCTTCAATCCACATACGGAAGCTTGTAACTCTGTTTAACCGCTCTGGCAATGATTCTAACGTTGCAAATCTATCTGACCTTTAACCTACATGTCTCATACGTGCATCTGAGCACACTGCATGTATAATACATGGTTTTGCGCAAATTGCACGTTTTATGTGGATTTTTGCACACTACATGGCAAATACTTGTTTGTGCATTTCTCATACATGCATCTGTACACAGTGCAGGTTTTCTACGTGCATCTGAGCACACTGAATGTCTCATACGTGCATCTGTGCACACTGCATATCATCCGTGCATCTGCGCACACTACATGCTTCATGCGTGCACCTAATTACACTGCATGTCTAATATGTACATCTGCTCACACTGCATGTCATACGTGCATCTGCGTACAATACATGTCTCATACATGCATCTGAGCACACTACATGTCTCATAAATGCTTCTGTGCACACTGCATGTCATAGGTGCATAAGCGCATGCTTCATGTCTAATACTTTACTCTGCTCACACTGCCTATCATAAGTACATCTGAGCACACTGCATATCTCATACATGCATCTAAGCACACTGCATGTCTCATACATGCTTCTGTGCAGAGTGAATGTCTAATACATGCATCTGGTAACACTGCAGGTCTCATATGTGCATCTTTGCCCACTGTAGGTCTCATATGTACATCTGTGCACACTGCATGTCAAACGTGAGTCTGGGCAAACTACATGTCTGATACGTGTATCTGAGCACACTGCATGTATAATACATGATTTTGCACACACTGCAAGTCATATGTGGATCCTTGCACACTACATGACTAATACATGTCTGTGCATGTCTCATACGTGCATCTGTACACACTACAGGTACTATGCGTGCATCTGTGCACACTACCAGACTAATACATGTTTGTGCATGTCTAATATGTGCATCTGCGCACCCTGTAGGTCTCATTCGTGCATCTGGATACACTACATGTCTCATACAAGCTTCTGCGCACAATGCATGTCATATGTACTCTGTGCACACTGCATGTCTCATACGTGCATCTGAGCACAGTGCATGTCTCATATG